CATTGTCCGCGCGGCGGCCACTTCCGGGAGCCGCGTCACGTGAGGGCCTTCGCGTGCGCAGGCGCTGGGGCTTCCGCGCCTGCGCACTGGCGCGTTGCCGGGACGACGGCGGTGCGGCCCAGCGACGCGCATGCGCAGGCGTGCTAGGCACCGGGTCGGGGCCTGCGGTCATGACCTTGAGCGGGTCTTCGGGGCCGGTGGGCGCTCCGGAGTGACCTGCCGGGATAGGCGGCCGCAGTGCCCCGCGCCGGCCGTCCCCGCCCCTCAGGGCCGTGCTGATGCCCAGCAGGTTCTGCAGCCCGCCTGTTTGGGTCTGAGCCCGGCTAAGCTGCGGTTACCGGGGTAACGGTGTTGCACAAAATAGCTAAGTGTCTGCATCATTGTTGCCGGCGGTCGTGGGCGATCTTGCAAAGTTACAGCGACCTAGAAAGTTACAGTAGCCGGGATGGCGGCGCACGCCTGTCATCCCTGCACTCTGGGAGGCTGAGGCAGGAGGATCTCAAGTCGAAACCCAAGCCCAGCCACTTAGCAACTTGTCTAGATCCCGAGGGGTGGGGCTCATCGCAGAGGTCCTGGATTCAGGCCCTGGTGTTGGGAAATCAAATAAATACATAAAAACCGTGCGTGGTGGCGCTGGGCTGTCCTAGCAGCAGGCTGGGGAGCTGAGGCGGGAGGATGTCAAGTTCGAGTTCAGCGTGATCCACTGAGCAAGATTGAGGAGAGGACAGGAGTGCGGCTCCGGGTGCGCACGCACCGTGGGTTCAGTTTATAGTAGCTCTCCGGAAAACGGACAAGCGAAGGTAGGGTGGTCAGCACCTTGGACCTGTCAAGCCCTGGGTCCAGGCAAGGTGTTCAGAGACCGGCTCTCGCTGTAGCTCAGGCTGCCGTTGAACTCGTGGAGATCCTCCCGCCTCAGCCTCCAGAGCGCTGGGGTGACAGGCACGTATCCCCGCCCGCGCCTGACCGCCCGTCCGCCCGGCGTCCCCGCAGGTCCAGCACGCCAGCAAGCAGATCGCGGCGGAGAAGCAGTACAAGGGCATCGTGGACTGCATCGTGCGCATCCCCAAGGAGCAGGGCGTGCTGTCCTTCTGGCGGGGCAACCTGGCCAACGTGATCCGCTACTTCCCCACGCAAGCCCTCAACTTCGCCTTCAAGGACAAGTACAAGCAGATCTTCCTGGGCGGCGTGGACAAGCACACGCAGTTCTGGAGGTACTTCGCGGGAAACCTGGCCTCCGGGGGCGCGGCCGGCGCCACCTCGCTCTGCTTCGTGTACCCGCTGGACTTCGCGCGGACCCGCCTGGCTGCCGACGTGGGCAAGTCAGGCGCGGAGCGCGAGTTCCGGGGCCTGGGTGACTGCCTGGTGAAGATCACCAAGTCGGACGGCCTCCGCGGGCTCTACCAGGGCTTCAACGTCTCCGTGCAGGGCATCATCATCTACCGCGCCGCCTACTTTGGCATCTATGACACCGCCAAGGGTGAGTGAGGCCCCGGCCTGGGCTGCGGGGCGCGGGCGTCTCCCTGTGTGTGTGTGTGCCCTCTTATAAGGACCCCAGCTCTCCTCGGGTGTGATACTGCTCGCCTGTCATCCCAACACGGGAGAGGCTGAGGCAGGAGAATCGCTGTGCTTTAAGGCCAGCCAGAAATGTACCCAGATCCACTCTCAAGAAGTAAGTACAACAGCCGGGCGTGCTGGCATACCCGTTATCCCAGCACTTGGAGGCTGAGGCAGGAGGATTGCTATGAGTTTGAAGCTAGCATAGGCCCCATATAGTGAGTTCAGGGTCAGCCTGAACTACACAAGGAGCCTCTCGTGTCAAAGGCACACACAAAAAAAGACATAACCAGATCTCCCAACGAACGCAAGGGCTCCAGGTACGAAACCAAAGGTGCGGCCCTCAGCTGCTGAGAAGCCCCGGGGCTGATCCCTGCCCTGGAACAGCTGCATGCGGTTGTCTTGGGGTTCAAGACGGAAAAGCAGGAGTTCGGGGGGCCGGGTTGAGTCCCCGTGGGCGCTCCCTCCCGCTATGGGGC